ATCTCATATGCAAACAGGCACAGATCTGCTGCGGAGCTCCCGTTCGACTCGGGACCGGGTCGTGGTTGGTAACTGTCGTCCTCTTTTTACAGCCTTGACAAACTTTTCTGACTACACAACTCAGCAAAATTTGGACACGGGAATGCGACACCCAGTCATGCTCATGTTACAACTTCAACAAAATCCTTAGGCGGCTGATGCGAATGATCGCACAAATACAGTGCGTTCGACCGCATCTCAGCTCCGCACTTGACATATAACAATTGTAGCGCGCTGCCGCGGCAAAGCCCACTAACTCAGGGGGCATAAGTAACGGTTAGAACACATCCAGTGCAAACAACTTGAAGGATCTGCTGCGCTAATATTTGGCTAAAATCACGCTCAACAACAGTTTTCTCAAAAAGGTTGAATGAGACTGCAAGGGGGGATTAAACGCAAATCACTGCCGATGACATCCTCCTCAATACAATGACTGTGCCAGCTCGCATTGAGTGTGGGAACGAACCCTTGTTGTAATTACACATTGAATGATGTACATGTATACGTTTCAGACGAGAGACATGAGGGAGGGCCCTGATTAGTCTGATTACCAGAGGATGAACACCAGTAGACTTGGAAAAACGAAGGAAAGAGAGACGTAGTCATTTTGATTTGAACTTTTTCAGCCGTTGCAGTTGAGCAATTATCCAACTTGTCAACAACGAGGCGGGGATAATTCTGTCTCCGTGGCGCTTGACTCTCCAATGAAGAGAAACACTTTCCGCTCCGAAAGGACACGACATGATCCGGGGAGGTAAACACCCCGGCCGAAATTGGGATGTGACGGCGCAAATCTAGGCTCGTACCAACCGTTATTGTGCTGGAAGTAATGATGGGCAAGTATTACTTACAATAACCAAACAATACTTGCTCGCTCGTCATTGTTTCCCCGCTATAACGGCTGGTAACGAGCCTAGCGCAAATCCTGAGAAATGTAAAGAGCGAAAAAAATATGTACTGGTTTAAAGGGATCTTGAAGTCTAACGCGTTGAACCCCGCCGTCATTGGGTTCCGAGCTGGAGTGTGTGTTTGAACGATCTCGGAAGCTCCTCCCGCTGAATCCCGCTAATGTTTAATGAGAGCACTTTATAATAAGGCTGGAACATTATGATTAAATATGGTCTCCAGCCATAATGTACTGTAATCATAATATAATCTTAAGGTTTCAGCGGATATTTAATCGTACCCGTATTGTAATGTATTGTAATGGTAAGATAATCATATTTAATCGTATTTAATACAGATTTTTCAGAATAAATTTCCCCCAGTAGCTCCTTGGGATGATCCCTCCACTGGGCCTCTTTCCAGAGTTGAAAGTGTGTCCTTATTGACCCCCACAAGAGCAGTTCTGCTCTGAATGTTCAGAACACTGCCTGTTGCCTCCAATCCACGGGTCTCCAGGCCTCGGATGACATAGTACCAATGTCTGTGTCAGTTTCTGAAGTGCCTGTATGTCCACAATCAACTCTTGACCAACTCTTAACCAACTTTTGAACCAGCCATCAGATATCGGAAACTTCCGGAACCAAGTCACATGCTAGTATCACATCTAAATTCCGGGATAAACAAGACCAAATGATATTCAATTATACTTTCAGTACACCTCTTACTTGACTGCAGAAGTTGTGTACCACCCTATGGAGCCCAGATGAAATTGTGGCTTCATATTAGGACAATCTGGGTGCTTCGGCCCACTTGGTCAATCCTTAATATTATGATTAAATATGGGCTCCGTACCGTAATGTAATCATAATGTAATCTAATCTAATCCTCCGTAATTTTAAGGCCTGAAATTATGGCAGCGCCATATTTAATCGTAATTCTAGGATTATAATCGATTATATTCTATTATAATCATATTTTTAGCCAGCCTTACTTTATAATTATTGGCCGAGATCATGCCCAGCTTCTTTAACATGCGAGGTACGAGGTTCCTTGTCCGAGCGTCTGTCTACAAGAGACTACCCAGCTACCGAGTCGGATCGCAATACTCATGACTCACAAACCTCGTACGCCAGCTGTGACCGAAGCTGAGTGAGCCCGGGTCAACAGATAGGTGAACCTGGTACCGTTAGGCTGCAAGAGCTAGTGCGGGGTATTATTTAGACTTGTAAAGTACAGTCTGTGATTTACCTGTAAAATACAGGTAATTTACATTTTTTACATCGAACCTCTCATTCCCCGCGTAAAAAATGGTATATTTTGCCCCGGGGCCACCAATACATTGTGTCATCCTCCCGGTGGCATCCAGAGTTGTAAAGTCTCTCTGGAAGACATCTGGGTCTGGGCACACAATATCTGGAATCTGCCAAGCAACTCATCGGGGTGGTGAATTTATACACCAATTTTACCAATTATACCAATTATACAGCCGTATTTTACGGTAAAATACGGTGAATTTTCGGGCCTGCGGCGCTGTATATTACAGTAAATTAGGCCCTGTATACTATACCAGAGGCCCCCAGGTAAATTACAACCGGATTTTAAATAATACCCCGCCCTAGCAAGAGCTCATTTCAACGCTGGTCCGCAAAATCAAGATCATGCAGCAAGTTGGGAGGAGTTTTGCAACGGAAGTCGGCATGAAAGAAGATGTGTTTAACAGAACGACGGTCTCGAACAAGTCTCGAGACTGCGTCGGTTTATCCAGGCTGTGGTCTCCATAGCACAACCCAGGACCATGGCCTTGGTTCCCATAATTTCACATGAAGTCCAATAGTTTCACGTGGAATCAGAGAATACAAGATGCGATCACGCATCAACGTTGCGTTGGCGGGCAAATCAGCCCAAAGATCAGATGATCAATCAAAATGAATCATTACAGCCAAAAGTTGTGGCGAGGGGCGTTTTTCGGCCAGGGCACCACAAGACCCACTAACTAAAGTTAGTGGGCATCCACCCACTTGTGAATACATCGGACCGTGGTGTTCGGTACACTGTGGGGTCTATAGGAATCAAGCGCACAATCAACTTGCTGTTCGGGGTCGACTCCCCGCGTCCGAATAGACGGGGTAATCGTGTTTTTCTTCCGGCGGCGGAAGCGGGAGGGCGCAATTTTTGCTGAACCGGCACAAGAATCCGTTGGCAAGGGCATTGGATCGAATCAAATTGCGACTTGGAGGGGAGACCGAACGCGAACAGTATTCAGGCTGGCATGCATTTAATGCAAAAGAAGAAGGACAGTCCATTCCGGCCCAGAGCGCCTCGCGGTGTGCCGCACATAACGTCCAATGTCCAGAACTGCGGCTTTGGCCATCAGCGGGTCTGGATTCAGGCAGTATTGACGCAACGCGCTCGGGAAAGCGCCGCCCGGATATAAAGATCACAGGCGGCGCATGACTGGCGTTTACTTGAACACAAGGGGGCTCCCACGAGCAAATATGAGCTCGAGAGAACATGCAGCGCAGATGTTCGCCGAGTCCCTTGCCCAGTCCCCACATTGGCGTTGTGAGCGCTGCCGCCGCTGCGCGCGTTGACTCCAGTCAGCACGAACGGTTGCATTGGGATTCTTGCACGCATTGTGAAAAGTTGCGGCAGCCAGTCGACTTTGTGATCTTTTAGACAGCAACGAGAAGAAAAGAGGCTGCGCCCAGGAAGACCGGTGCGAAACGACGATGAAGCAAAGAGCGAGATCAAGAATTGATCCGGTCCGGCGGAGTACACCGCCACGCTCCTCTTTCTTCTTGCCACAACAGCCTCGTCGACGACCTGTCTCTCTTTCCTCTCTCCCCGTCTTGCACTGCCGATGGAATTTCCGGATACCATGCCTGATAAGAACCCTCCATTGCTCCAATCAACGAATGTACGCATGCGCCCGACTGCAATTATTACCCACTTCAAGTTTCTCGCGTGCACGTCTTTTGTTTCGCATGTCCTGCCTCCCCTTGCATACTGTTGCGGCTCTCCCTGACTTTGTTCGCTCGAATACTCGACGTTGAGAACGCATCGGGCGTGGTGTTTCCTGTTATCGGCCAAGCAGCACTCGGACACTTGCACCCCGAGGTTCGACTCTCGCCGCTCGTATTGTCTTCAATGTGCACGCTCTTTTATTTTCAGGTTCCAATATTCGATCTTCTCACGTCGCATGGGGCCAGTCTCTGCGGTAGGCCCACCCGTGGATCTTCAACCACATTCGGGCAGGCAAGAGCCGATAATTCAGAAAGGGAATGACCTATGGCGCATAGCTTAACCTTCTCTGACTCAGACAACTAAGCTATGTCTCCCGTTCGACCCGGGACTGGTTGTAGCCGTATTCTCCTACTCTTTTTCTTTCCTTTTGCAACCTCGGGCACACAAGTTCGACCCGAGGCTGCGAAAATCATGCCCATGCGTCCGAAGTCGCTACGACGCGGATGACCCCATAAGTACAACATGTGTTTGACTCGCATTCAAGTGGTGCAGCCTCATGCAGGGTACTCTGATTTGACGATCAGGCTAGTCTCTTATAAACAGACGCTACAACAAAACTGAGCTCGTACCTCGCTCGATCAGGCACAATTGACTGGTTCGGGGTTCGAATCCCCGCGCCCGAATGTACCGGTGACGAGCTGATCCCTTTTCCCCCAGGCTGTTTGATTGGAGTTGTCGACAGGCATGGGATTTTCTCAGGTAAGTCTCGTGCCCGCAATTCTTTGTCTCCACTTCTCATCCTCTCAGCACTCAGCCGACGCATTTACAACATCGGGCGTCGTGTACGGTACACCGCGGGGCTGATTGGGTCGGTCCAGAATGAAATCAACGCGCTGTCTGGGGTTCGACTCTCCACGTGTGAATTATCGGTGACATCGTATGTTTTTCTCCGCCTTTCCCGCAATATTTGTCTCTCCGTACTTTCTGGTGCTCGCTTCCCGGCGTCGATTTGGCTCCGATTTGACTTGTGCCTCGCTTTCCCTGTTCATTGTGCATTATTGACAGATCGACTACCACTTCCACCTCGAGAAGATGCACTATCCGTGCAAATATGGGACGTGGTGCATGGGCACGGCGGGTTCTCATAATATTTGAGGAGGAAAAATGACTAGCCGGCAGGTCGGGGTTCGACTCCCCGCGTTTGAATCATTTGAGATTTCCTTTTGTAGTTTTGTTTTTGTAACTCAAACGCGACCGACGCCTGAGATGTACATGGCACTCTGTGCAACCAAGAGATTTTTGCCATTAGCTCCATGCAGTCGTGGAATCAAAATTGTCCACCTTCAACCCATCCGGACGCGGGGAGTCGAACCCCGTACGACGAGTGCACTGCTTCCCAGGTTACGTCTAAGTGGGCCCCGCGGTGTACCATACACCACGCCCGGTATTATTGACCGCGAACTTTGATTGATGAAGGGGAAATCGGAATGGTGCGCGAGTCGCAACCCTGGGGACGAAAGAGACTTTGGGTGCTGAACACGAAAGAGGTTTTTAGAGCCAGGAAAAAGGGGATCAACACGGAAGCGAGGGTAAGATGTACGCCGGCCTAGAGAAAACAAATTGGGCGAGGAACGGAATGACCTGGGCCCGATTCGAACGGGGGAATTTCGCAGAATCCATCAGCCTGGGATGTTAGCGCATATTGGTTGCGAATGCAGACCACCCGCTACCAGGTCTTGAACTGCCTAGGCAATAGTAGAGTTCAGGAATGTGACTTCTGGCTGCAAGGAATGTTTGACCGTAGATTTTGAACGAAGGAGTAGCGCTGCATCGGTGTAGATGACTTTACCCAACCCATTCAACCCGGGGGTTACAATCCCCGGGCTTTTCTGAGCCTCGGATTCACTGAGAATGCCTGGTAGGGTAAGCCCATGTACGCTCCAGCTGAGCTATACGACGCGGTGAGTTTCTCCACACTTTCCTCACCATACATCACTAGGACCCGATAGCGGATGGCCGCTCCTGCCACCCATGCAAGTCGGGGAAGATGGAATGTACGCAGGAAACCCGTTCGATCCGGGGTCGGGTCGTGGGTGAACATTGATGGTGACAAAGCATATTTTTGTTGCTATCCCTGGTACAATCGCAACGAGATACATATTCGCTTGTGCGGATGGGTAGTGCGGAACCTTGGGGATAGATCAGAGGGATAGCATTGAACAATTTGTGGAAAGTTGCAGACGCTCGCACAGCGATGCAGAAGTTCCTATTTGTGTTACTGAGTTTCTCAATTCCGCTGGAAGTACTTCTAGAGCGGAAAGAGAGAGAGAAAAACATTCGCGTCACTCTCCATAGGCGGTGGGGAGTCAAACCCCGTACAGCAAGCAAATCACCGGGGAACTAGAAGTGGTGCGGATTGCACCGTGCCCGATGTTATGCTGCTTCAGATGCTCGGATGAGTCTGCGGCGAGCCTGAATGTCGCGCGGAGTTGAAATGTTTCGTAACGGGCCAACGTAGACAACAAACTCACCTAGACGCAGCGGTTGGCGGTTGCGCAGGAAGGAGGGGATCCATTTTCCAACGAGACGGACAAAGATCTAACAGACAGAACATTCGAACGCGAGGCAGTGATTGTTTTACTCCGCAACGGGCTCCGCCACATCCGATGCTGGATCTATCGACAGAGGGCGCAAAATAATTGACAGTGGGTATGAGGTGAGTTTGGAGACTGTCAGGCAGGAGTTAGGACATACCGGGGAAATACTAGTACGACACCAATTGGGCTGAGGGATCTCGGAGCTTGCAGTCGACGACGAATTGAGGGTCCCCAAAGGTTCATTCTGGAGTCGAGCGGGTCGAGGGATGACATGAGAAGAGTTATGTTATGTGGTGAGCCAGAAGCAACAAGTGGTTGGTCGCCTTGAAGTCGAGTTCAAGCAAAATTGAAGAAATGCCTACCGAGTGGAGAGAACTCGGCCGCCTCGCCTCGATCAGGGAAAGCCAGAACTTGCAGTTGAAGTTACTTGAACGACGAACGAAGTCGCGAGAGGGGCGTCAGAGAACAAAGCAGCAGTACAAGGGTCTCAGCAGCGGTTGTTGTGGCAAGAAGGAAGAAACGATGTGGCTGTGTAGCCGGATCATTTATTGATTGATGCCGGCTCTCCTGCTTCCTGCCTCCATCGTTGCCGCCTTTGCGTCACTTACTCCGCCGCCCCCGTCTCCCCGACAGCTCTTGTTCCTTTTCAAGAGTTTGCAAGCGCTCCTCAGACACCAATCTGCCACCCACACGAAGCGCGTGGTCCTCTCGGAGTCCCTGACGACACGTTGCTGCCCACTGCGCCGCCAATGTCCCAGAAAAAGCGAAGCGCCACCCTGCTGTTCCTGTCTCGCTTGCTCGCCAACAAAAACGCGGGACCGTACTATCAGTACCATGACTGCGTTGCTCAAAATTTGTCTCCCTGTTTTGCCCATGGGCATGCTTCCGGTGTCGATGTCGTCTCGTGTTGGTACCAGCAGAAAGCCTTGGACTCCTCCCGCCGTTGACTCTCACACACGGCTGGAGGCCTCAAATGGCCGAAGTTTCTGGGATACGATATCTTGTCTAGTTGCCGACAAATCTCTTACCCATATATGGTGCACAACCGTCTCCTCCTCCAGGTTATGAATTCAGTGACTCGCAAGTAAACATTGATTTGCCTCTTGCTAAGTAACGCACGCTCAGCGATAGCTGGAGACCTAATGTCGGACCGCCCGCCTTCGCCTCCCATCTCTTAGATCACTTCTCCCGTTCGACTCGGGACTGCGTCGTAGTTTCGGTAGGAATGCCATTCTTTTTACGCCCCAGACTCTTTCCGCACCCCCAACCGAAATCCGCGCGCTGGACGCATGATCACTGAAGACGCGGCGTTGCAAAATTCCCTGTGCAAAATGCCGTGTTCACAGACCAGGTGCTCTCAATCGAATTTCGCACCTCACTTGACAAAGGTACTCAGGCAGAAATATATCGGGCGTGGTGTTTGGTACACTGGGAAGCTCCATTAACACGATTCAAACAGGGTTAACTCGCTGTTTGGGGTTCGCCTCCCTGGGCCGGAATAGCTCGGTGACATCGTATTTTCTCTCTCTTTCTTTCCCTCTTGTTGCCGCGCGGACTAAAACGATGAGCCGTCAGAGCCAGATGGGATTCTTTCTCAGGTGGGTTCCGTTCCCGGGAATCTTTCTCCACGCTGTACGGCCGCCTGGAGCAATGACAGCTCGATTTGCTCCCCTCCGTTGGCTGCCCCATTCTTTACAACTCAAGGATTCGGCTTATCAATACTTCCAATTCTGTTCGACATCCTCTGGCTCTCACGTAAAAGGAATCCGTTGGGTGTTCGGTCATCCGGACACGGGGAGTCGAACCCAGCCAGTGAAGTAAACGCTCTACTGAATGATGAACCTCACGGTGTGTCCCACACAACATCCGATTGGTCTAACTTCGTTCATTCCGGCATTCAATGCGGCATCTATGAGGATAATCGTATGGTGTGGTGTACCCGACGGTTTCAAGTTCGTAAACTCTGGAACCGGTGTTGCAAAGACAGTGGTGAAAACCCTATTGCGCAATACCATCAAGCCAAACCCTCGCGGTAGAGATCTAGATAAAGGAGAGGAACAAAACAGGTAAAATACGTTACTGCACATATGCCCCGAGCCCGAGTCGAACGGGCTCCCGCTGTGTATGCATTGTTAATCCAAATGGAATTGGGGGCGGGGGTGCACCGGCGCTGTTGGGGCTGAAATATGTTCGAAAGAGGAGTATAAGGTCGACCTGCTTCATTAGCAGCAGCAATTCACAAGTGGTACAAAACGTGGCAAGGGAGAAAAAGGATTCAGTACATATCATAAAAGTGTTGCGTTGTGAAAGGCACGGTTCTCAGGAGTCCATATCCACAGTTATCCACAGTTGAAAGAACCTGGGCGTATAGCCGTCCCTGGAGAAATGAGGAGAAAGCGCGTAGGAGGTTATTCACCGCTTTGACGATGACGGAAAACCCCCCAAAAAGGGAGAATCAACCGCACATTGCCCGAGCCCGAGTCGAACGGGTGCTCGCTGTATCGGATTCCACCCCTTCGATGGGAGCGAGTGCGCACGGGTGCTGTGAGGGCTAACATTACTTAATCGTGAACGCCCTCGAGGCAGTACAAAGGCGCGCCCTCCAATGGCATTGATGGCTCTGGGTTAATCTGAAAGTCACCTAGCCCCACATCGGAGCTCGGCTTGGGGAGTACGAGGTACGTCCAGAGAGTAGACGAGCTAAGGATGCAAAAGATTGAGTGCAAAAATATCATGTCCCGAGCCCGAGTCGAACGGGCGCCCGCTGCATGGTTGTTCGAGATGATTATACGGGGGGCAAGTGCGCACCGGCGCTATGGAGGCTGGATTATCTCTGAATATAGATGAATCGGAAGTAAGTAATCGTACTCCGCTGCCGGCTCGTTTTGGCTTTAGACCTAGGTAACACTGCTTGCCAAACTGCCCTGAGACCGAATTTGGCACGCGTTTCAGTAGCGGTGAGGGAAAAGACGAAAAAATCTTGAAGATGCAAAAAGGATGCATCAACCGTCACTATGCCCCAGTCCCGAGTCGAACGGGCACCCGCTGAGCAGGGTTCCACCGATGGAATTTGGAGCGGGGGTGTACCCGCACTGGGGGGCCTAATGGCAGTAGATGCAGTGGTTGAAATCTCTGAAAAGCACAGGCATACGACGCAGAATGTTGGCTCATGACTCGCAGTTGCGAATTGCGATCGAGATAAGAGGCAACGGGAACTCAGGAGCAAACCTTATATACAAGGAAGTTCAAAAATAAGATTGTGTGCACTGTGGACGGCCAACCATGCCCCCAAGCCGAGTTGAACGGACGCCCGCTGACCGCAAGTGACGTGGTCATGGACCCCCTGGAATGATGTTGTGCTCCGTTGGCATCTTGGAGATTTCTGTGAGGACAACCACCCGTACAGTACTTCATGTTTGTCTTCGGTAGACTCGTTTAGTGATGTTCTTGGCTTGGCTTGAAGCCAACAAGCCAAGAAGCCAAAGCCGTGGCTTGATCAAGCCAAGCCAAGCCAAATCTTTGGCTTGAGGTTGGCTTTGGCTTTGGCTTGAGATTTGGAAGCCAAAGCCAAGCCAGCAAGCCGTGGCTTGAGCCGGTGTATAAAAACGA